GACTAGGGTGGAGCAGGACTCTTGGAAATTCCATACTGATGAAAAGGAGGGCATAGTTTCTGGGCGAGTGGTGATGGAGAGTGGGACCTGAAATCCCTCCTTTTCCTGAACATAATATGGTAAAGTGATCACATGGGCAACATAAACCCTTCAGGGAACTGAAGGAAAGGAAAGGACCAGGTTTGGGCAAAGAGGGAAGTATTAGGTTAAGTTTCCAGTTCTCCCTGGAGAAGCAGACTGGTGGGAGGCGGCAGGCACTGCTCACCTTGGGCTCTTCACCTTATTCCATCAGCTGCTCAGGAGAGCTACTGCCAACAGAGAGCAGGGGGCAGTGGATGGCCAAAAGAATCAGGGTGGCATCTCAACAGCTTTGCTGACTGAACTTCAGGCTAACTGAGGAGAAATCTAAAAACCTGCCTGCTTCCATTGGTCAAAGCAGCTCAGTTTGTTAAAAAGAAGCCAATTCGAGTCATTTGGTTTGTTTTGATGTAGGCACATGCAGAATGTATTTGCCTGAGACTTTTCCTTTTTTTTTTTTTAAAGTCTTTATAGCTAAGCACCTTGCCCCAGGGTAGACCCTGCTTAATAAATGCTTATTGACTGAGGGAATGGGGTGGAAAGGGTACTGGTTCAAGGTCAGAAAAGCTGGGTTTGAATCTTGACGTGGGGGACCTTGGACAAGTAACCTCAGTATCAGGATCACAGAATCTGAGAGCTGGGAAGAACCTCCAAGGCGGTCTAGTCCAACCGGAATCGGATTCACCTCTAAGCCTCCTTCAGTTTTGTTATCTGCAAAATGTGGGAGTAGAACTAATTCTTTCAACCCCAAGGTCCTCTGATAACATCACCTTTCTAGAGTGCTGTTGTAGAATATATCATTTCATTCTTCAAAGGTGTAATGGTTCTTTGACCTGAAGATAGAATCATTTGCAGCACTTTTCTGCCAAAACGTTTTCTTCCTTGTGCCCTGACCAACCTATATGCCCCACCATGGTGGTAAAAGATGGCATGGGGGATGGTAAAATGTGCCTGGAAGGAGGAAGGTCTGAGTTAGCTGTGTGACCACTGGACAAATCACTCAATCTCGGTCTGCCTCCGTTAAAAAAAAAATCTCTCAAGAGGAGATAATAACAGCGCCTACCTCACAAGGAAGGATCGAAGGAGATAATATGTGTGAAGCCCTCGGCATAGTGCCTGGCATATACTGAGCACTTAATAATTGCTTATTTCTTTCCTTCCCAAACAGCTCCTGCCACTTGGGGACTGCTCTCATTATTATGTTCTTCCTGACGTCAGGACTAAATGAATCTCTTTGTACCTTCTTCCCACTGTTCCCTGGTTCTGGGACCAAGCCAAAGAATCATCATCTCTCTTCCAAATGCTTTTGCCAATTCCCATCCCCCCCCCATATCTACTTCACAATTGGCCCTGGTCTCCCTCTCTGCCCTTCACTCACAAGTTAAAATGTGCGTCAAAGGCTGCCTTCCAAGAAAAAGGAATTGTAAAGGAGAAAGGGGAAGTCCCCCTGCTTTCCCCAGTAAAGATAAGAAAAACTACCAGCTGATTGAAAGTTCATAAGATTGGAGCAGCTAGGTGGCACAGTGGATAGAACGTTGGCCTTGCAGTCAGGAGGACCTGAGTTCAAATGTGACATCAGATACTTATTTGTGTGACCCTAGGCAAGTCATTTAACCCATATCGCCTCAAAAAAAAAAAGGAAAAAAAAGAACATTTATAAGATCATGGGTGTAGAAGCTAGAAGGGGCCTCTGAGGCCATGGAATCCAACTCTACAAAGTTCTCCCTCCATTTATTTTGGGCCTTCATTAGACAACATTTTTTAAGGACCTACTACGTGCCAGCCACAGTCCCCAGTCTCCGCTGAGTTTATACTCTGATAGGGGAAATAGATAAAGCTCTTTGCAAACTTAAAGCACTTTATAAATGTTAGCTATCATTATTATGAATAATATGTGACTATTTACAAAAACAAAGTATTTGCAAAGTGATTTTGGGGAGAGGCTCTAGTAACTGGGAGAGCTGGAAAAGCCTCTTAGGAGGTGACACTTGGTTCAAGTTAACCAGCATTTATTAAGTGCCTACTATGTGTCAGGCACTGTGTTGAGTGCCAAAGAATACAAAGAAAGGCAAAAAACAGTCCCTGACCTCAAGGAGCTCACAGTCTAATGGGAAAGAGAGCATGCAAACAATGTGCAGAAGGAAGTAAAGTACAGGATAAACTAGAAACGATAGACAGAGGGAACACAGGGAATTAAGGGGGATATAGAAAGACTTCTCAGTGGTGGGACTTTGGCTGAGATTCGAAGGAAGCCCAGGAAGCCAACAGGCAGAGACGAGAAGGGAGTGATCTCTAAACAAGCAGTGGAAACATCCACCTAGGAGATGAAGTGTAACCTCTGAGGCACAGAAAGGAGGCCAGGGGCCATCCGATCTCAGGGAAGAAAGTAAGGTGTAAGAAGCCTGGAGAAGCAGGAAGGGGCTGGGTCATGAAGGCTTTTGAACAACACACGGAAGATTTTATATTTGATATTTGATCCGGGTGGTAACGAGGAGCTAGTGGCACTGATTAGATAAGGAAGGGGCAGTTGGCATGGTCAGATTTTCACTTCAGGAAAATCTATTTGACATCGATGAAGACGGCCGATAGAAGAGGGGGAGAGACTATGGTAACAGTCCTGGTGAGAGGTGATAAGAACCTCAATTAGGTTTGTGACTGCAAGAATTGAGAGAGGTGGGGTGGGGGAGGAGGGGAAGGAAATTAGCAGTTCTTAAGCACCTACTGGTATAAAATGAGCTGGAGAAGGAAAAGGCAAACTGTGCCAGCATCTTTGCTAAGAAAACCCCAAATTTCACAAAGAATGGGACATGACAGAACAATGACGAAAGCAGTACTATGTACCAGGCACTGTGCTAAGCACTTTACACGAATTATCTCACTTGATCCTCACAACAACCCTGGGGGGTAAGTACTATTATCATTCCCATTTTACAGATAAGGAAATTGAGGCAGAGGTTAAATGACTTGCTCAAAAGTGTCTGAGGCCGGATTTGAACTCCAGTTTTCTTGACTCCAAGACCACTAATCTGTCCACTGGAAAGAGAATATAGAGCATACTCTGTGCCAGGCATGTGCTAAACACTTTTTACAAATATTATCTTATTTATTCCTTACAACAACCCTGGGAGGTTGGTGCTATGGTTATTCCCATTTTATAATTGAGGAAACTGAGGCAGAGGTTAAGTGACTTGCCCAGGATCACTCAGCTAGTAAATATCTGAGGCCAATTTTGAACTGGTCTTCCTGATTCCAAACTCAGCCTTCTGAGTAATGTCCTAGGGATAGAATTGGCAAGTGTTAGCAGTTGACTGAATATGGGGCATTTTTGGAGAGTGAATAGTTGAGTCGTCTCTGAGACTATCAACCTGGGTGACTAGAAGGAGGGTGGTTCACTCCCTTTGCAGAAATAGGGAAGTTAGGAAGAAGGTGGCTGAGATACCTAGGGGACGTGTAATCTTATTCCAAATGTCCAATTGGCTGTTAGTGATGTGGGACAGGAAACTCAGGGGAGAGACAAGGGCAGGATGCAGGAATCTGGTCGTCAGCTGCATAGAGATGATATTTGAACCTGTGGGAGCTGATGAGCTCACAAACAGGGGGTGGTATGCGGAGAAGGGAGCCTGTGTGTGCTGCCACCCTTAATCATTGCCGATCTTCGTGGTCACAGGACCTTGAATTCCTACTGAGTCTTTGGGAGAGCTATGTCACTAAGCCAGCCAGCCTTTATTAAGTGCCTTCTACCTGCCAGACGCTGGGCTAAGTCCCATGGATACAAAGAAGGACACAAAGAGTCCCTGCCCTCAGGGAGCTCACCATCATCTACATCACTCCCGTCTTAGAGGTCCAAAGATATCGATATCTGCGTCTTTATCTAAATTCACAAATACAGAGAGCTGGAAGTGTCCGTAAAGGTCATCTAGAACGAGCCCCTCATTTGACAAATGGGGAAACTGAGGCGCAAAGCGGGTGAGTGCGTTGGCCAAGGTCACCCAGGTGACGGCCCAGCATCCTTCTCCCTCCCCCTCCCTGGGTGACAAAGGACACTCCCCTCCGGCCACTGAGGAATGAGGAATGAACCGCAGCCCAGAATCCTAGCATTCAGCAAATTCTCCAGCCCGAGCTCGTGGGAGGGGCTGCGTGGGGCTGAGTCTGCCTCGGGCAAGTGGGAGAGACGAGGTCTGGAACGGGATCAATCCCGCCCCGCCGCCCCAAATCCTCCATTCCCCACTGAGGCAGCGAGAAGAAAGCACCTTCCCGGAGCCCGCACGTGGGACACCCTGAAAACCCCATTTCCCAGAATCCCCCCAACCAGCGAACTCCAAGTCCCAGAATCCCATTCGGAAACTCCAACCCTGGCGGGCGCTTTGATTCCTTTAGACTCCAGAGGCTCTTGGCCCCCGCCCCCACCTCCTCCACGGATGAGCTGGACGGAACTATCCGGCCGAGACGGGGTGACCTATTATCTCTGGGCCCTGCCGCCACCTCTTTCTCGCGATTTCGGGGGAAGGACGTGTGACAGGATGTGGATAGAGGGATTTAGGATCTCTCCAGTTTGGGGCTGCTACGAGGTGGCCTCTCCCGACGGGCCGGGAGGTGTGGCTCCTGAGTGGCTCCCCCCGCCTTGCAGGAGTGGTTCAGCCCAGAGGCGGCCCTTCCCGGCGGGGGCCGGAATGGTGGCTCGGACGGCCCCGCCCCGCCCCGCCCCGCCCGGGAATGTGGACGTTTGGAGGGAGCGCGGTGGGCGGGCCGGAGGGAGGCGCCGAGGCGCCGGGGCCGGGGCGGCGGAGGCGGCGGAGGCCGGCGGCGGCGGCGGCGGCGGCGGGAGCGCCCGGAGCGGTAGCTGCGGCGGCTTGGGCAGCGGCGGCGGGGCAGAGGCGGCGGCGGCCCTCGGCCAGGCTCCCCACGGCGCGGCCGCTCCGGCGCGGGGCGGCGGGGAGATGCCCACGCAGCGGGACAGCAGCAGCATGTCCCACCCGGGCCCGGGCGGCGGCGGGGGAGGGGGCGGCGGCGGCGGGGACCACGCGCACCAGGTCCGAGTGAAAGCCTACTACAAAGGGTGAGTGAGCGCGGGGGCCAAGCGGGCATCCCGGGGAGTGGAAGCGCCCGGAGGGCAGGGGCCCTACTGTCCCTCGAGCCTACCATGGTGTTTGTGGTACTGGTTAGATCCGCCGGTGCGAAGAGCATCCCCGGGAGGGAAAGCTGCTGAAGGGCAGCGGCTGTTGTACTTGTGCCTCTTGAGCCTAACACGGTGTTTGTGGAACTGGTTAGGTCTGACTGTGCAAAGGGAGCTCGTGGAGAGTGGAAGCCCCCGGAGGGCAGGGGCTACTTTTGCCTTTGTGCCCCTCGAACCTGACTTGGTGTTTGTGGAACTGGTTAGGTCAGCTGTACAAAGGGAGCTCGTGGAGAGTGGAAGCCCCCGGAGGGCAGGGGCTGCATCGACCTTGTACCCCTCTAGCCTAACAGAGTGCCCTCCACTTGGTGTTGGCTGCTCTGGATGAGGTCTGACTGTGCAAAGGGAGCATCAGGGTGAGTGGAAGCTGCCGGAGGGCAGGGGCTGGTTTTGTCCTAGTGTCCCTCAGAACTTGGCTCTTGGAAGGTTGTCTAAGTTGGATCAGTTTGGGTAGTGTAGAATGTAAACTTCTTGAATCGATCAATTGATAAGCATTTATTAAACACCTAGTCTGTGCCAGGCACTGTGATTAGTGGTTGGGTTATTAAAAGAGGCAAAAGACAGCCCCTGCCCTCCAGGAGCTTACAATCTAACGGGGAAGATAACGTGCAAACAAGTGTATACAAACGACTGGATAAATAGGAAATAATTATAGGGGGAAGGCTCTAGAATTAAGAGGGGTCAGGCTTCCCATTGAAGGTGGGGATTTAGTTGGGACTTAGAGGCATGTCATTCTCTTGGTATCTCTTTGTCAAAAGGCCGTGTGCTGTAGATGGTAGAGTGGGTGTCCTCGGATGGAGTAGTCTCACCAGAAAGGCCCCTCTCCTGGTGAAATGACCAGTCTCCTCTTTATCCAGATCCTTTGTTTCTCCAGGAAACTTCATGACTTTGGAGTGATTAGTCATTGAGGAATTGAGTGAGTCCTCAAGAGTCAGAGCAGAGAAGTGCATGTGACTGTATGGTCCAGTGGAAGGAGGTCATTTGGAGTCATTTAGGAACTCTGTGACCTTGGGCAGGTCATGTGACTTCTGGGCCTCAGTTTCCTCATCTGTAAAATGAAAGGGGTTGGACTCCATAGCCTCCACCTTCCCTCTCAGCTCTAGATTTTTAGGATGCTGGATTCCCCAGTACCTGGTGTGGAAGCCCTTCCTGAGTGTTACGTAAAGACCTCAAATGCTAGAATGTGAACTTTTTAAGGGTTTGCTTTTTTTGTCATTGTTGATTCCTGTGCCTGGCATATAGGAGATGGACTTGGTCAGGTGGATGGAATATAGGAGAATATCTAGAGGGCGTTGTCTGCAGGGCCTGCTTCCTTTGGCCTTCCTCTGCTCTCTACTGGGGCCCTTGATGGGTTGGGTTAACTAAGTCTTCCCCTACTCACGGTAGGCTATAAGGTCCTTGAAGGGCAGCTTGGTCTTGTGTTCTTGGCCCTCAAAAACCCTTGAACCCCTCAGAGGGCTCAGTGAGCGCTGGTTGGCTTGCCTCGCCTTAACCTGCCTAGGGACCACCAACCAGCCCTGGCCTTTTGAGGGATGCCTTTTGGGGGAGAGAGGATGCCCATGACAAGGGACGTGGGACTGGCCGTCTCGGAGGTGGAAGTGGCTCTGAGGCTCTCAGAGGGTCCTGGCTAGGGCCCTGTGGCTCTGGGGTTCACCTAAATACAGTTTTGCATGGACAGGAACAGGCTTTGCTTTGGGCTGGCATGTGGTAGGGGTTTAGAATGAGAACAAGAACTCAGAGTTCTTGTTTTCCCTTGGGTATGGGCTGCAGGACCAATTTAGACTGTGGTAAGCTGTTGTAGGCAGGCCTGAAGTCATAAGAAACAAAAGAAAAAGCCACCAAGTTATGCAAGTGGACTTTATCAGAGGACTGCCATAATAAGTTCATTACCTGCCAGGGATTTCTGAATGATGTGATCTCCCCAGATTTAGGAGGGGTTTGTTGAGAATGGTGGTTGGGGGAGTCCTTCCCTGTCATTGCTGGGTTTCCTAGGACCTTGCTTTGGGATGAGAACCCTGCTAGGGGAGAAGAAAACCATCCCACATCTCTTGGCACCGAACGTACATCCAGTTGGGCTTGGCTAATGTTGCCCCATCTCACCGTAGGGGAAAAGAGCTCGAGCCAAGATATTTGATTAAAGAATATTTTAATTTCAGGAACTTTTCTTCTCCCCCAAATTGAAGACTTCCAGTTCAGTTGAGCAGCTTTCACTTGGTCGTTGTTGGGTGAGGTGAATGCCCTTTGCGGCTGCTGTGGGCTGCTGAGACCAGCTTGGGCTTCCTGTGAAGCCCAGGGTTTCAAACAAACACCTTTATGGGTGTGCTTGCTGCTTATCCAGGCAGAAATAAGTGGCTTTAAAAAAAAGTTTGACTGTACAATGCCTGCATTCCTCAGTGGATCAGTGAGGATTGTGAATGGAGAACTTGCAAGGGGGAGGCCCTAGCTGCCTGCCTCCTGTCTTCCCTGGCCCCACAAGTGATGATTGCTGGTTTCACTTAACTGAATGATTGGGTTTGTTGCTGTGTGTGATTTTATGAATTCTTGCCTTTGGAGTTGTATTGGAGGTATTACTGTTAGCCTGTAACTTCAGTTTTTTATAAGAGCTGTCAAACTGCACTTACTAGCTGTGTGACCCTGGGCAAGTCACTTAACCCCACTGCCTAGCTGAAAAAAAAAGAGCTTTCAAACTGATGCTTTCTTTTGCATTTAAAAATGGTGACTTTTTGCTAAGGGAAGCCAGGAATCCTGACTGTGAGCACTTTTATCCTACTCCAGCTCAGATAGTCATGATTAAAAACTTCACTACTGTACTTAAGAAACACTCTGTCAACCGATCATTTCTTTACTTCCTGCCCTGAAATAAGACTTGATGAGGACTCCATTTTTATTAGCAATATTCTCAGCCAGAGGTCGTGCTGTTACAGAGCTGCCTGTTGAAACTACGATGAGTCACTGAAGGAGTGCATTACTGAACAGGTTGGCTAACTAGGATACCTTTGACCTGATTTTCATATTAAAAAAATCCTCTTTACCAGAAGACATTTTCTCTTGAGCGTGACTAGCATCCTCATTCTGAGCCATCAGGTTGAGAGATCCATGGGTCACTTGCTTTCCCCCCCCAGCAGCATTTCTCTATAGCAGCTGGGATCGTTCTGTACAAAATGACTACGTCCTTTCCCCCAGGACGAGAACCTTCAAGTTCCTTTAAACCTGATCTTTGTGAAAATGTGCCCTCTCCAGATAAAGAAACTTAAGCCACACACTTAATTTGATTAGTTGTTCTAGTATTTAAGTAGGAGATTGGCTTTTTCCTTTTTTTTTTTAACCACTGTGGGAGCTTTTCCTTGGATTTCCTCAGTCATTACTTTGTTAGTTTACAAAAACAGAATAAAAAGTTCTGTTGGTTAGTGAGAGATTAACATCATATAAGCTTTTGTATGGTGAGCTCTCATTTAGTGGGGCAGGGCTTATCAGTTAAATACTTAAGGAACCATGCAGACTACACCATAAAGTATACAGTGGTTTTGCAAGCATGTTTTCCAAAATGGTATTTCTCAGAGTACTTTTTATGGACAGTCATAATTTTAAAGATTTTACTGCATTGTAGAATTAGGAAAACATTGTTGAGTAACTGTTTGTGTTTGAAACTGGCCTTGCAAGGAAATATGTAGAATTTTTATCATAGTTTGCAAGTCCTGACAAGGCTGATTTTTACTGGTACATTTATTTTCTGACTACATTAGTAATAGCCATTAATGGGCAGAGGTGCTGTCTCTGATTGGGCTCTCACAGGCTCATTTGGACCCTCTTCTTTTCTGTTTCCCCTCTTGGTGATCTCACTTCTCTGGGTTCTAGGGCGCCATCTCTGGAGTTGACTCTGAGCCCCGGGTGTCCAGCCTTCGCCTCTTCTGCTCATTACTCTCCCTCGAGGTCTATTCCAAGGGCATCTCGGGCTTGATGTGGCCAGTGCCCCTCATTTCTTCAGACAGCATCTCAACCATCTGTATGCAAGCTAACCACCCCGCAGTATCCTTGACACTCTCAGCTGAACTCTCTATCCTTGGCAAGCAGCTCTGATAGCTGTGGCAGGCCTGTCTGTGACATTGCCTCCCACCTCTCAGAAATTCCACCATATTGCTTTTTATATATTTTTGGAACGTGTGACCCTTGGGCCAGAAGCTTAACCCCCTCATCGATCCAAGTAAAGGACTTAGGAAAGAAGGTGCCTCCTGCGGCTGGTGTTCCTCACAAGCTCCCTAACCCTGGAAAATTATGGCTCTGGTAAAAAAAAAAGTGTCCATGCTCCCCTGCCCTCCTCCTCCCTCTCCCTGTAGAATGTCAGCTGCTTGAGGCCAGCCACTTGACTTTGTGTCTCCAGGACCTCCCACAGTGCCTTGTGCATAGGTTCCTAATATGTTTGCAGAGTCAGTGATGTTAAAAGAACACATCCAGCGTTTAGCACAGTGCCTGGCACATCCTAGGGGCTTGATAACTATTTATTGACTGTCTGCTATATCACCAATCCATAACACTGCCGAGAAGGCCTAAATAGCCATTGCTGAGCGAGTAAGGAAGGCCCTCGATCAAAGCCTGTTTATTTTTTCAGCCTCTGCTTTGTTAACATCTGTTGTAATTCTCTGTTGTATCTCATCCACACTAGACCCTTCGTGGGGGCTCAGCCGCCACGATTCCTAGCTAAACTTTGTATGTCTTCCAGAAACTAACTCAGGGCTGCAACAAAAGAGAAATGCTTAATAGATGTTTATTGAATTGGATTTACAAACCCTTTTGCAAGCGTGTAATTACAAGAAGGGAGAGAGATTCCTCCATAGGCAGGCACAGTGGCAGCCAGGGAGTAGATGGGGAAAAAACAAACAGAGTAGGGT